AGGGGCAGAGGAAAGGGGGAGAGAAATGGAGAAAGAAAAAGGGGAGGAGAGGAGAGGGGGAGGAGGGAGATGGGGGAGGAGAGGGGGAGGAGAGGGGAGAGGAGGGGCAGAGGGAAGGGGAGAGAGATGGAGAAAGGAGAAGGGAGAGGAGGAAGAGGGAGATGGGGGAGGGGAGAGGAGGGGCAGAGGGAAGGGGAAAGAGATGGAGAAAGAAGAAGGGGGAGGAGAGGAGAGGAGGAAGAGGGAGATAGGGGAGGGGGAGGAGAGGGGAGAGGAGGGGCAGAGGGAAGGAGGAGAGAAATGGAAAAGGAAGATGGAGGAGAAAGGAGGAGGAGGGAGATGGAGGGGCAGAAGGAAGGGGGAGAGAGATGGAGAAGGAAAAAGGGGAAGGGGGAGGGGAGGAGAGGGGAGGCAGGGCTCACATCCAGGACCTCCCGCCTCAGGGGCGGCTGCTCCACACAGGTCAGCAGCCTCAGCAGCAGGTCCATAATGGCAGACGTCCCGATGTGATGAAGTAACAAAGGCACAAAGTCGGCCTTGTTCCGCAGGAAGGACACTATCTGAGGAGAGAAGAAACTGGGTTGGCGGCCAGCCCCACCCCTTGGCGGACCCCTCCCGCTTCCTCTCGGACCCCCAGAACGAGTACGTCTGGTCCCCTGGTCACCGTCTGACGCGGGGGCGCTCACCGGGCCTCCGGGGACTCACCTGGCCCGTCTTCCGGTTGATCAGGACCCCCATGACCTTGCTAAAGAAACTGGCCAGCAGGGGGTTCAGGGGGCCTGTGTTCTGCAGGAAGCCGTACAGGCGGCCCAGCAGGGCCTCATCCTCCCCGAGGGCGTCATTGATCTGGGGGACGTCGGAGGTCAGGATCTCACAGGACACGCTGGGGTACCTGGAGAGAAGGTGGCCGTCACACCGACGCCAGGCTTCCGCCTATACGCCTATACTTCCCCTTGAAATCAGGGGCCCATCCCAGGACAGCCCGCAGCCGTGTCTCTAGGTTTCCATTTCCCAATTTGTAAGACCAGGAAGCAAACACCTTTGACCTTCGACCTCCCATTCTTCAGGACACCTCCCTTACGGGGGGGGGGGGGGGGGGGAAGGCAAATACAGGAAACCAAAACAAGCACACTAACTGGTGACGCCTCCTTCCTCCCTCAGCATCGCAGGCTCCACAGTTACACTGCACAGGGGGAAGGCAGGAAAGGCAGCAGGGTGGGAGGTGAGGGAGGGTGAGCGGACAGGGCGGCCAGAGGAGCTAGCACAGAACCAGCATTTGAACCCGGGCCCTGCGCATTTAGGGCTAGGCCTTCTCCACCACTCGGGGACCAGAGCGGGACGGGGCAGGCGGGCCTCACTTGTACCGCAGCCGCTCGTCGCCGGCGGCTGGTGGCTCCTGCGTGACCCAGTCCACGAGGGCCTGCAGATGGGCCGGCCACAGCAGGTAGTCCAGCAGCTTGGGGTGCGGCACCTTGCACTCCTGCAGCACGTCCTCCTCGTCCAGGAGCTGAGCCAAGACCAGGTCGTCCCTCTGCAGCAGCGTGTCGATGTGGGAGCTGGTGTGCAGGTCAAACTTCCAGAACACGGCACCCTGCGGAGGAGGGACCAGACAAGAGGCTGGGGCAGGCCGGGACTGCCGAGGGACTTCAGCCTAGGTGCCCCGTGCTGTGCCCACGTCAAGGGTGCGGGAGGGGAGGGGGCACCTGGCCTAAGCAACGCCTGGTCACGCAGGTTGTCTCAGAAGCCATGCCACCTGCCCGCCACCTCCCCCCGGAGTTTTCAACGTTTGCAGAGATCAAAGGGGGCCCCCAGAACAAGGCCGTGGTCCGGGGCTCGCTCTGGCCAACTGCCCTCATGCAAAGTCTCACGGGAGGGGACTGCAGAAAGGAAGCCAGAGGCCACCCTTGAGAGCCCGAGGCATGGCCCCCTGTGTGTGGGGGGGCCCCCAATCACACTGATGGCTTCCAGGGGGGCTGTGCCAGCACACAGATCAGCAAGAAGGGTCCTGGATCCTCTCAGCACCTTACCTCCAGCTGGGCAGTAATGCCCCCTACTCAGACGAGAAGCTCTACACTTACATTAAGAAATGCCCTGGGTTCGAGGCCTGATCTCAGCAAGCTGCCTCCCAGATCAGGAAAGGGAAAGCCCCCCAGGAGGCTACTAGCACCAAAGAAGCGTGAGAGCGACGACCACCACTGCCTCCTGCCCCGACCCCTGGCACAAGAGCTGCCCCAGGCCACTCGCCAAGACCCCCGAAATGGGGCCCCGGACCCCAGAAAAGGACAGAAAGAAGAAAGAACGTGTCCAATGACAACCGAGCTGCCCAGGCCGGGGGAGGACTCCCCAGCATCCTCCCACGACCCTCCCCCCAGCCCCTGGGGGGCGGGGCACGCAGACACGCCCCGCGCAGGTGCCGGGGGACCCTCCTGCACCCCCAGCCCCGGAGAATCGAGAAAGAATCGGTTCTGCACAGAAGACGCGGCTGGGGGGGGCCACGTTCAACGCCTCCCGGGAATGCCCTTCGCTGGCCGGGGGGAGGGGAAACCCCCTGCAAGCTTCGGGGGGGTGGAGCCGCCCCAGCCCCGCCCCCCACAAAGGGAGGCCTCTGAGCCCCCAGGCTCCCCCGCCTTCCCTCAGTCTCCCCCCTCCGCGCAAGGGGCGGGGCGGGGTCACTGACCTGGGCGCGCGGGCACCGGCGGCTCCGGCCTCGGGAACATAGGGGCGCGCGCAGCGGGAGGGGGCGGGGAAGTGGGCGCGCGCTCTCGGCCAGCGCAGGCGCCCTGAGCGGCCGCGCGGTGGGGGGAGGGGGCCCGCGCGGTGGGGGACCGGGAGGCAGCCCCGCGGCGGTCTGTCTCCCCCGCCCTCCTGCTCCTTTTCTTTCTCCCGTGGGCGTGGGACTTGAAAGCCGGTGCCCGGCCGGGGCTGCGGCGGCTGCTCCGCTCTCGTTCCTGCGTCCGCCTCGGCCGCCCCTGTGTCTGCGTCTGCAGCCTCTGCAGGCAAATCTCGAGCGCAGAGCTAAGAGACGGCAGCAAAATGGCTGGCGCGCAGGCGCGGCAGAGAAGCCGCAGAGAGGGCGGGAAGGGGCGGGAGCTGGCGCGCAGGCGCCCTGAAGCTAGGAGGGGGGGGGGGGGGGCACGCAGCCGCTCTAGAAAAGATCCGCCGGGGCGGCGGGGGACAGGCGGGGGGGGGGGGGGGGGGGGGGGAAACGGCTGCGGAGTTGCCGGAGCCCCCGCGCAGCATAAAAGAGAGCCTAAGAAGGACGCTCCTTCCCTCCCTTCCCCCGCTCCCGTGACCCCAGGAGGCTGCAAGCAGGCGGGTCGGGCCTTGTCCTCTTTCTTTGAGGCTTCGTGGCGTCTGTCCGGTCTCGGTCCTCGCGGCGCCTGCCTGCCTGCCGACCCACCCGCCCGTTTGCCGCAGCGAGTCTGCCCGCCCCCCCCCCCCCCAGGCCCCCCGCGGTCTCCCACAATCCCCCATGGCGAGGACCTGGAGAGCTCAGCGCAATGCGGGGCAGTCCACCCCTGGCAGCCCATGGACCCCAGCGCATGCGCGCCCAGCAGGCGCTCTTCACCCCTTCGGCCCTGCTTTACCCAAACACGCGACTGCGCTTGCGTGCTGCAAAGGCGACCGCTGCCCCGCTGCCCCGCCGCCCTGGGGGGGGGGGTGCGGGTGCTTATAAAGCCGCATTCTACTGCTGCGCAGGCGCTCTACGCACATGTCCAGCTCCCTCACTCCCTGCACCCCCACCCTGTCGGGAAGTGGTACGCATGCGTATGAGTCCCCCTCCCCGCCCACGCCTGGGCTGCGAGTCAATTCCACTATCAACCACGGGGCCCCCCCCATCCACCTCCGCAATCCTGCCCCGCCCTTCCCACCACTTCCTAGAAGGCTTCAGGAATTACCCCCACTGCCCCTAAACCCAGAGTGGCCTGGGACGGGGGCCTTGGACCACGAGCCCCATCACCTAAATGGGGCGCGCGGGGGTCCCGCAGCACGAACGGCCCCGCCCCCAAGGGCGCTCTGGTCCACTCGAGCTCCCGCACGTCCCCCCCTACACAGATGTAGTACTCCAGGAAGGGGGGGAGGAGGGAGAAACACCTTTATTGCCAGGGCACAGCCATAGAGGGGTGGGCGCGCCCGGGAAGGGGAGGAAGTGGGGGGGAGGAAAAAGCAAGGGGCTTCCCACGCCCCTGGGCCGGTGCCCAGGCTGCCTCCTCCGCCGCCTCGGGCTCGGAGGCCGGACTGCGGGAGGGGAGCCGCCGGCGAGGCTGGCTCCTGTGCTGGGGGGCGCGCGCGCCCCCTCGGACCCTCCCCACGTTCACCGGTCCATGCTGTCATCCGTGGGGGAGGAGAAGCACATCTGGAGCAGCTTTTCGCAGAATTCCAGCTCCTCCTGGAAGGAAGCAGGAGGATGAGGGGCGCCCCAGGTCGGGGGACCCTATCCCGGGGTCAAGTCCACCACAAGCTCCCAGCCCACTGACTCAGCACAAGGGCTGGTCCTCAGGGGGGCCCTTGCACCGTCCCTGGCCAGGGCTCCCAGGGAGGCCCCTCCCCCGAGCCTGGCGACGTCCTAGGCCTCCAGCCCTCCAAGGGTTCCTGGCACGTGATCCAGCTGCCCCTGCCCAGGCTCTGGGGCCGTCCCTGGCCTGTGCCTGGCCCTCTGGGTCCTCGTGCTGTCTGCAGAGGACAGGGCCCTGCCTGCTGGAAGGCCTTCAGAGGCCACCAGGCCTCCCGAGTGGGGCTGAGGGCCTCCCTATGGCTTCGTGGCTGGCCCTGAGCCCTGTCCACATGTGAGCCTCATGCCCCCAAAGAGGAGGGAGCTCTCTCTCTGTGCCCAGGCCCCTGGCCATGGCCCCCCTGCTGAGCCTATAAGGAGCAGGGCCTCCTCTGGGGCTTGGCTCAGGGCCAAGGTCTAACAGGAGAACCCCAGGCAGGCAGGAGCCCCCAGCCCCATACCTGGTACTCCTCATGCTGCTGCAGCAGCTGACACCGATGTCGTAGGAGTTCCTCGAGCCCCAGTTCAGGCTCCCGGCATTCCCGGATTCCCTGGGGAAAATCTGTCACCAGCCTGGGGAGAGGGATGGCCACGAAGACCAGTCATCACTGCTTCCCTGTGCCCAGGGGCCCCATGCCCACCTGGCCTGGACCATGCTTCACCCTCCCTTCCAGGGGGCTGAACAGCTTCCCATCACCTGGGGGCACCGAGCTGCCAACATCAGCCCCACCCTCGGGGGAGGACCTGAGATCCCAGTGGCCTGGCCTGACCATGCTTCACCCCCCCCCAGAGACCTGCCCAAAGGATCCTCTCACCCACAAAGTGCCCCCAGCACGTGCTCGTGGAAGGGGCTGTGCTCTGTTCGGATCAGAGCCACCAGCTGCTGGACCATTCCCATAGAGCACAGGGTACCTGAGGGCAGAGGGGAAACGGTCAAAAAGATGAGATCCCCCTGCCTGCTCAGCACTATGAGGCAGGCCTTCCCAGAGCCTAACCCATCGCTGACTGGCATTCGATGCCCACCCTCCCTGAAAGATGGGTCCCAACCTGGGGGTCTGCTGCCCTCGCCTCCCCCTGCTCCCCTCGGAAACACTGAGAGTCACTCTCCTGCGCTGGCTCCCATGGTCTCCCCCTCTGCCTGCTGGTGCCCAGCTCTGAAGGCGCCTCCCCCTTTGCCTCCCCCAGCCCCCCGCCCGCCCCCCACCTTTGTGCTCAGGACGGCCCACCAGCAGGTTCTGCAGGAGGAAGGCCGACTTCACCTTCAGCTTCACCACATCCCTCTGCATGGCCCGCATGAGCACAGAAAAGCCATCCAGGCGAAGGAACTGGAGCAGCCCGGCCTCCTGCTCCCGGACCAGGCCTGAGGGCAGCAACAAAGGGTCAGCACTCAGGCAGCAAAGCCCACGACAGCTCCCAGAGAAGAGGCCTGCCGCTTACTCAGCCAAGAAGCATTGGTGAGCCACCTCCTGTGTGGGCGCCAAGCACTGGGCCCTGCCTGGCAGGAGCTCACAATCTAAGGGGAAACAAGATTTAGGCAGCAGAAAGTGGAGAAAATCAGCACAGGAAGGCTTCCTGGAGAAGGCGGGAGGCCAAGGTCAGTGGTGGAAGGGGACGGCCAGAGAGAAGGCCCAGAGCAGAGATGGATGCGAGAGGAAGTGTGGGGGAGGAGGGTGTAAGAAGACGGCATAGCTGGGACGGGGCTTTGATCCTGGAGGCCACTGGGAGTCCCAGAGGTAGGGTACGGGATGACGTGGCCAGACCTGAAATTTAGGAAACCCCTTAGGAAGGATGGGTGGGAGTGGGGAGAGGCCAAGCAGACCCCCCCAGAGGCTACTGCAACAGTCCAGGAGTGAGGGGATGAGGGGCTGCACCAGGGGCTGGCTGTCAGAGGAGAAAAGGGGGCGGCAGAGGACTGGACCTGGGGGGAGGGAGAGGGAGTGAGGAGCCCAGGATGACTCCTAGGTTGGGAGCCTGGGGGACTGGGAGGTTGGGGGTGCCCTCTGTAGTAACGTGGTGGATGTTAACATGGAAAGATAAGGAGTCCCGTTTTGGATATATGAATCGTTGTCACTTTATGTAAATTCATGTTACCCGAATTTGACTTCACATAAAGAATTCTGCTAAAAATCTGCATTCCCAAAAAACTGCTCAGTTAACTTTCCTGTACCCGGCTGTGTTCTCCGTCCGCTCCTGCCCCTTGGCTTGGCACCTCACAACCTCCCATCTCCCCACCAAAAAAAAAAAACCAAACCCTCCAAGTGAAAGCGGAAGAATGGGCCGGAAAGACCCCCACCCCAGTGCCAAGAGAGGAGACTTTTGCCCTGTTCTGCCCACCCGGCCGTGCGTCCAGCCCGTGGGTCTGTC